GAAAAACTGGGTCAAAAATATTATTATGTTGAAGGTAACAATAGAGCGTATTTGCGATTTGAGTTGTTAAAAAGTTCTATTTCGTCCTAAGCCCGAAAATTGGCTACCCCTCTTTGTCAACCCTTTTGTGATTTCAATTTTGTTTTGTGGTTTACATAGTTTTCGCCATACTTTACCAACTTGTTGCGGTGCATCGAGGTAAGCACAAGGCGGTTTTATAATCATAAATTAGCTCTACTTGGGTTTCACGGGTGTAGAGAGTCGATGCAATAAAACGAGAAGAGGAGCATGTACTACCCAAAGGCTGGTAGTGGTAGGTGAGGTCGACGGTCATAGCATCACATGTCAAGAGGTCACTCGGGGAAGGGGAAGTAGAGGAAGCCAAACCCCTGAAGATTGCTTCGAAGCACTCGCGCAGCCTTTTCGGCACTTTTCGCACTGCTTGCTCACGCTTTCTGAATGCACCCGGGCTTCCTCCACGACTGTGTAACCATTGACGTGATGTACGTAAGCAATGATGACATGTGTCACAACAACGGCGGGAGAGGAAACAACTACATCAGCAAATGATGTTTTTGCACCGGGGTATGTGGCGCTGCACCCCAGCTCAGGGTTTGAAAGATTCTGGAACGGGCACCTGCAACAAAAACACACTTGTGGTAAAATTCTCCAGGAACCAATCAAGGTTCCCTGTTGCCGCAACCTCGATGTGCTACTATGCTGACATGCCGCTTGCAACCGGTATCGGGTGAAACACTAAGACACGTCATCAAAAAGGTCGTCATATGGGACACTACCGACCTGCCGATCCTGCTCAGACCAACGGTTGCCGAAATGCTGATCCCAAGTCAGACATCTTGATTGGAAATTATGTAGAAATGCCCGTGGGTTTGGCATGTGCTGTGGGTGGGCCTTGTGCGCACCAACAGCTTTCAGGAACAGAGATCTCATGTAGACTGGCGCAGCATTGAATGTTTTGCCATGCAGGTCTCTGAAAGTCAGTGAACGCCACCCGCCCCTTCGACTCCGGACTTGCACTTGCTTGTACCAAACGTAGTTTCGGTCAACTATGCTAACGGTCCAAACATTCTCAGCCTTCAGCTCGTCATGGATGTATACTTTAAGCACCAACGACAATGGCTCTTCGGCAGTCTGACCCACCTCGACAGGCATGAGCATCAAACGTCCTCTGTCAAACTCTAGCTCGAAGTGCCGCAGTAGCAGGAGCGTGTTCTTGGGGTCGTTGACCTCAAACCCCATGGTCTGAGCAGGAGCATCGTGGTCCTTGTTGTAGATGTGAGCTGTGCAAATGTTGTTACTGTACCACGTGGCACTTTCCTTGTGTAGATGTCGGAGAATCAAACATTCCTGCACCCTGCCATGATGCTGAACACAGGCTTGACGCACTTCCACGTCCGTCTCTACTGTGCGAACACTCTTGGCAACGGGCACGAAAATGGCTTCCCAGAGAGGCTCAAGCTTCTTTTCAAGCTTCTCATTGCTGTGCTCAAGCTTCTTTTCAAGCTTCTCATTGCTGTGCTCAAGCTTCTTTTCAAGCTTCTCATGCAACTTCTCCATCTGGGTCAGAATGTCTTCGGAGGGATCTGCTGCCTGGGCACAAAGAACAACTTGCTCCAAAGCAAGATGCTGCACCAAGAGCCTAAAGCGAACCCGAAGCACCAAAAAAAGGTTAACAAACTAGCCATGCAAAGAGCCTGCTGAAGCATTGTCTGCACAAACTCAATGTGCTTCTGTGTATTTTCCACCTTCTTTTCAAAAGCCCTGACGGCGGCATCATCTCGAGGACTCTTTCCAAGTTGCTCTTGTAGCTCTGACTGTGCCTCCGCAAATGCTTTCATGGCAGACTCATACCGACGTGTCCACTCCTGCTGAGCAGTGCCAGCACTTGGCTGCCCAAAGCTTGACTCCATGGCGACGCCCGAGTGGCCAGAGTAAGTTAAGTGGGTGCGACAGGGGAGTTGAAGCATAGCGGCTTTGTGGCAACATGGTCGGCCTGTCTGTAGCCATGCTGAACTAGCACTAGCACACAAAGCGAATACCACAGGACTCGAGAGCACGGCCATGGTACGTTCATGTGCTGGATGTTGAAGATCCTACATTCTGAAAACCCCAAACCTGATTTTAGCAGCTACAAGAGCTGCCTTGCCTATTTCCAACATATGCCGTTGTAGTTGGGATACCGGGAGGGGTTGGGCAAACGATTGGGTCATACCGTAGAACTTCAGGGTTTACGATCCTTAACTGCAAACCCTGAACCAAATTCTATAAAGAACCCCTTGCCCAGTTTGGGTAATGATGCTACCTTAGAGATAATAGATGGGGTAAT